TCTCAAAGCCCTGTCCGAAATGCAAGAGACCAATTCAGAAGAACGCGGGTTGTGATCATATGAAGTGTATCTGTGGGCATCAATTCTGTTGGCTTTGCTTTGGGTCTTGGCCCAGAGGACACATGGAAGGATGTCCGATTACTTCGTATGCGCACCTATTGCGTTGAGACGCGAACAAGGCCAGGATGGTTATGGTTGGTGTCATGCTGTAGGATTGGAGGCAATCCCTTGCACATAAAGCGTTATGTACTTGACAATTAAGAAAATAAAACATTACTGAATACCAAAATTGGTACACTGAAAGATGTGCGGGTGCTCGTGCTTGACCTAGTACTAATACTGCAGCGTCAGATTCCGTACCACATTGCCGCATATACCCGGACCTATCCTGACGCCTACTGGTTCATCACTGGTTCTCTTGATATGTAACGCTGATGCTCCCGAATTATTTTCTTTTCTTTACAATACAATTCGAGTATTAAATTCAAACCATCACGAAGATGAATTTCCCAGTAGGCGTTGGTCCCCTTTCCGAAGCCATCGACCAAGGGAACCAGGATGAAGTCAAAAAGGCTGTCGCATCAGCACCAAGTCCCTCGCAGATACTTTCAAGACATTCTGCACGGGGGCTCACGCCTCTCGCGCTCTCAATCATCTACCGTCAAGTCGACATCTCAAGGTACCTTCTCGAGAACGGAGCCGATGCCAAAGCTGGCTACCGAGTCGAATGGGTCGATAAACTTCAGCATGTCCCCCACAAAGATCTGCTCGAGATTTGTCCTCCACTTCACTGTGCTGCTCTCTATGGATTCGATGACCTGATCGAGCTCTTGGTATCACATGGAGCGGACGTCAATGCCGCTGACGGAGTGGATAGAGGGTCTTAAGTGGTGCCGCTCCATTTTGCAACAGGCGATGCAGTAAAGCACTCATCAAAGCTGGGGTAGATGTGGATTATAAGAACGAATTTGGCTGGACCCCGTTGATATACGCCATTTTGCGTGAAGACATTGGTGCAATTCGGCTTCTCGTGCAACACGGCGCCGATGTCAATATAGCGCGTACCACGAGGTATAAAGTGCGGGTCAAAAGTAGCTATGAGAAGCTGGTGGTTGGAACATCGTCGCCACTGATGATGGCTTGTAGTCATGGGAGGCTGACCCCAAAATCTGGAGAAATGATTGAGATCCTTGCTGCTGCTGGAGCAGACGTCAATCACCGGTACAAAGTGGAGCTCAGCCTGGAAGATGGACGAGCGCCAACCTTCACGGCTCTGGATTTGATTTGCGGATCAAGAGTAAAGCAACCTGAAGTGCAAAGTCCTCACAACACGGGCGAAGGCTACGGCAAGAAAGAGAAGCAAGCTATTATGGCGCTTCTAGAAGCAGGGGCGGATGAAAAACACGAGGTAGTGGCGGAAATATTGAAAAAGCATCCGCAGCATGTCACTAGAGACACAAGTTGATATTGCTGACGGACACTGAGGGTTCTATGTGGGGGTGAAATCACTTGTCTAGCTTATCAACAATATAATTTACTTCTTTAACGCTTTAGGGCCAGAGCCTCTGGACGATACCACGTAGAGAAATGCAATATTATGAGCGGTAAACTCTTGAGCAATAAACTCCCAATACGAATACTGTGTATTAAAAGCCTTAGGTATATTCCATTCTTCAACGGCTTCTCCGTATTTGCTGTGACCGCCCATTAATTCACCGGCTTGCCCGTAATTATCCACTACCTGCAGTGTTCTTTACGCGATGCGCTGCTGTTTAACTTTCGACTTCGTTTCAGGCAAGAAGGAAAGACCAGAGGTTGACTCGAGCGGTCTCTTGCTAGCTCCTCCAATGCTTGACCAATGTGGCATGTTTGTTAAAGGACGCTTTAGTGTGGGAGCGACTTCATTGACGAGATTGCCGTGACAGGGACTAATCGTCAAGCAGCTATCAAACGCCGAGGCATTCGCAATATTGCTAAGAGCGATTCTGTTCTGCTCTTCTTCTACTGCAGTAGAGGAGTTTTGTAGCATTGACAAAGCGTTTGCTTCAAGGGTCTTCGATTTATTAGCTAGGGCTTGCGCTCTGGACGGCCTTGGACCTGCTGGTGCCCTAGGATTTTTTGAACTTGTACGCTCAACCCCAAGTATTTCAGCTTTGACATCTTTCTCTAACCCCCCAAAGGTCTTCTCAATAGAAGTTAATTTCTTTTTATAAATCGATGGGATCGTTGCGTCAACTGGGACAAATCGTGCAGTGCCTGGTCTACCTTCCGATTGACAATTTAAGCACATCGGCCGACGTTCCACATACTTTGGAGGGCCTCCTATAGTCCATCGCGGAACTTCTTCCAAGTACCGGGTGCGATCGCCCAATAGTTGGGTGTTTTCTTTGCAAATGATACACCAGCTTTCCACTGGTTGAGAGAGTTTCCCTTCGCAGTCCTTTGGATCCCGTATGGTTTCTCTCCAGTCTTCGCGAATACGTCGACTAATTTGAGCTGATAAGTCTGGTCGACTGCCCCAAACAAACGGAATGGACGAGTCTCTTGGAATTCCAGCTCTGCACTTCCCTTGGCATATGCCCGAGTTGCACCTCCTACGCCGGATGACATAGTGACCGAGTCGCATAACCGCCCACCTCGCCTCTGTATCTTGAGACATTGGCTGCCGGCAATTATAGCAGATAGCTCCGATGACATCAAATGGTCTTAATCTATAGTAGATTAGGTCATCCAGAGAGGATATGGGAAGCTTTTCAATCATCCTAGCTTGCATCTTTATTAATCCATAGATCATCTCCGCAAGGGATAGATTTTCACCTGGAGGACCTTCCATGGTGCCCAGTTGTCGGTACACTAGCATGATATCCACCGGGCCTTTTATTAGCCTTCCCTTGAAGAGAGTTTGTCCTTGCCTTCTAAGCCAGGCTCCGACAATCTCGGGAAAGTCGGCAAGGTTCTCCCATTTGTGCAAGTGATAGTTGTGCTCCGTTTCTGTGGCCACAACTACCGGTAGAATCTTCCGAAGCTCCTGAACACTGAAAGGCGGCTTCCCATCATCGAAGACAAAATCTTTATAACCACCTATAACCTGGCTTGTCGATGCATCGGCTAATGTCAGCTTAGACATCGAGGTCATTGGAACCCAGCCGGAAGCATTGCCACTATCCCCATCGCTCTGTGGCTGCTCAAGAATGCCGTAGAATTTATTCTTTACCACACTTGAAAAGTTGAATGGCACGATTGTCCTCCACTTTTGGTTATTGTAGTATCTCTCGATGAAGTTTACCCCGGCTATCTTAGCTGCAACGGCTAGGAGCTTGTCCTGTCTGGCACACTCCTCTGGTTTTGGATAAAAGAATCTTTGAGGATGAGCGACGAAGACGATAATGCGCCTATATCGGTGTCCTTGCTGCGCGTTGCTGTAATTGGATTCACGATCCAAGGTGATGTAGATATCATCGTAGTCTCCCCATAGTGGAAAGAGGTCGAACTTGTAGCCTTGCTTCTGGAGCATTCTCTCTCTGACTGCCGCGCCATAGACTACCTCGACCTTCGCCTCCATAGACTCCCGTACCGTTTGGATGAATGCTTCATGACATTTCACAACATCTTCAGGGTAATTTTGCAGCCCTTCAGATTTCTCGTCCCTCCTGAGCAAGTGGTCGTACAGAAGGCTGTGATTTTTCTCAAATGCATTCCCCATAATCATGGCTATACAGGGATTTGTCTCATCTGCAGTTTCGCCGTTATGCGGCCGGAGAGTCGTGAACGAAGGTTGATGGGCATGATGAGCGATTCGAGAGCAAAGCGATCCAGAGACTCTAACCAGCAAGTCCCTAGATACACTGTCCCCATTGGCTGCCCATGTATTGACTTCCAAGTTCGCAAATTTTGAAAACGCGTTGTCCATGTCTAAGATGGTCTTCAGTGTTTCTATTTAAACCACATTATATGTTAGAGCTTTTCAGCGGAACAAAAGACTAGAACTAATTTCTTAACTCACGGCTAAGGGAACGAGCACCAAGCTGTCTTAGCAAAGGTTGTTATTCGCGAGCCCGCGCTAGTTTTTGCCTGTTTAGTCCACAGGTTTCGGGGTCTGGTAGGTAGAGGCTATCGCCAATATGGTATGAAGAACTCATGCTTAGGATAGTATCGAGCAGTACCACGGAAGACAGCGTCCTTTTGGGGAGGCTTAGGGTACGAAGAAAAGGATATATGCGTTGGGTGAATTCTTTGATGTTCCAAGGCTGGAAGGTTGTCGAGTGCACCAGATCTGTGATCGAAGCCTAGGACTCTTTAGAAGAATTAGTAGGTCACCAACTGTAATCAAAAAAAAGAACAATAATCCCTTTCAAATATGTATCAATTCGTACAGTACTGTATCTCCAATGCCACTCTCATATGAATTTTAAGTACAACCCGCGAAAAGAAGTATTTGGAGTTGTCAGATAACATGGGTATCTATGTCACTTGTGTGATGGATTGGTCATAATAACCAGGAATTGGATCAATTGAGGGTCAAAGTGATTGAATTGTAAAAGTCTTAAGATGAAAGGAAGTCGGCAACAAAGGAGGTTTATATGCCACATGGTTGTAGCCCTAAACCCGTTTAGGAACCCCGGTGCCAGTACCACGCACGTGACTGCTTTCTAACCGACAATCTTGTTGCAGGGTGCTAAGGCCCCTAGCTTAGGTAAGCCTTAGTGGCGAACGCCACTGTGGCCACGCTGAAGGAGTTCAGCTTACGGGGGCTTTAGGCCCTGTAGAGCTGAAGCTTTTGGGGGCTGAAAGCCCCTGTACAACTAGAGTCCTGAGGGACGCATCGGCCGCTTAATTTCAGCACGTAGAACTTGTCCGCACTACGCAGGTGCAGGCCCTAGTGTGTGTAGCATACGCTATGACCGAGTTTTGCTTGGCAGAATCCGAGGCGGTGTGACTTAGGGCGCAAATTTTTCTTTGTTGGAGTATAGTATTAGATAAGAACTTTATCAGCACAAACAGGCGAGATGGCCGAGTTGGTTATGGCGGTAAGCATTGGCTAACATCCTATGATTTACGCAGTACTAATTCAGTCTCCAGCCAGGTTAAGGTTCAACTTAACATCATTTCCTGGTCACGTTATGTGGCGTGGGTTCGAGTCCCACTCTCGTCAAATACTTTTTTGCCATTTTTTGGGTTGTTTCTAGAGTATATACGTGTCTCGGGCCTAATTGATATTTTTTTGTTGTGTGTCGGGAGTCGGGAGCCCAGGCTCTCAGTCCGAGAAAGACTGGCCTATTTCGGTACGCGAGAACATCAAAAAGTCCGTTACTCAATCCGGCATCCCTCGCCCTCCCATAGTTCAAAACTAATACCGCTTTCAGGTTTACTTCTCAAGAAGCTATTGAGTCTGAATATTAAAAAAAATTATATCATTTGTTAATTGTTTGTTGGTAATAACTTGGGTTTATCGCATTTGCGCATAGTGCCAAAATCGGCCACTTTTTTCTCCGACTGAGAGCCAGGGTCTGGGAGACACGTGATTTGAACGCCGGCGTCAGCGTAACCGATGCAGCAATTGCGAAAGTGCTTGAAACTGATTTTTTGTGAGAGTAATAAGAATTTACAGTTATTGGGCCCTCTACGCGAGACGTGGGAGCGGACTCGGATTGTGGCAGAAAAGGTATGAACTCGGGAGGTATATAACAATTCTGCCCTTGAGCTTGAAACGGCGGATCCAACAAGATAATTCCTAGAGTCTTTCTGTCAGTTTTTGTATAGAAATTTAGTAGATCCCTAACCTGACCAGGCGCTGCCGCTTTCCGCTCGAAACCATATTGTAACCACCTGCCTAGCGCTCACGAGAGCCTCAAAGTCCCTCCCTTTCCTAGCCCATGGTATCAACTTGCGGGCCTTCCGTGGTACCCTGCATCTTGACTCATCCGCTTTGACATGGAACCTTGCTTCTGAGAAACGAGACCCAGGAATAATTTCACCCCCTCTAGGTATCGATGATGCATCCGTCCAGCAACTTTCCGATATTGCAAATGCTTGTTTGACAGATCGCTGCACTTCCATATAGACAAGCTGGCTATAGTGGTGGGAGTTCATGATTGAAGGAAGTACCGGGAGTCGGTCTGATATCTCTTCGATCCGGTGCCAGGTTGTATATCTCAAACGTCTAGCAAAGAATTCCGGAGGAACTTTGAGGACTCCACCCAACAAAGCAACACTTTCTGGACACATATTCTCGACTAGAAACAAGTGGCAGTATCCAGCCATGGATCCTAATGAAGCCAACGCTTGGGACAGCTCTACCCCACGGAGTTTCTTAAATTCTACTGTAGATTCAGAATTTGCATCTTGAGCTTTGGGAGGTATAGTCAATAATGCCAAACCAGCCGGAGCTTGGCATGAATGTCGCCTTATATTGACAAAGTCATGCAAGGCTGCATAGGGAAGAGGAGGTTTCGGCGCGACTTCGAATTGTCTCGCGGTACTCGGCTGCGGATAGCTTGACGGGGTCTGACATTGCCAACTGCTCTCTGAATACTTGGCATTGGGGTCGAGGTGAAGCCTGCAGAAAATAGGCTACTCCTCCTGAGACGGTGGTGAGGTATGGGTAAATTATGCCTTCTGTTTAAGGGGGCTGTGCTGAAAATGTCTCGAAGCCTCAACACTCACACCGAGTAGCCGCAGCGCCCGCAGTGGCCTGAAGCTATGTACAACTTGTTTGGAGACTTTGCCAATCAAAAAGCTGCACATGACATGTACTCTGCTCAGTGTAATATTTTCTTACACAAATCTCGCAAACTGGATAAAGTGCTTGCTATACAAAACTAACAAAACAACTTTAATAGCATCTGCCTATGATCTCCACTCATCTATTACATTTATTATTCCCAAGCCCAAAGGCTCGCAAAATGTACAAGATTTCCAAAATTCTACCGTCTATCCGGCGTATGGAGATGTGCAACTGAACGAAGTGGCCACACTTCCACCAGAGAACGCACCAATCAAAGCCTCAATAGCAGAGTAGCATCCAAGACCACACACAACCAAGGCACCCAAGAAGTAGAAAATATTGAAGCTGGTCAACAAGAAAGTCTTTCTATACCCACGGATCCATCTCTTGAAACCACTGTCAACACGAACATATTTCTTGGTTGCCTCGTCGAAGGACTCCTCAGGAAGCATGGCACCCTTCTTGATCTCGAAGCCGATCTTGAGCAGCGCAGGGAAGGTGTAGGTGAAGTTACCGATACAGAAGGCACCGACGAGCGAGCTGATGTCTCCGAGCTCGGGCACGGCACCGGCCATGACGAAGGCGAGGGACCAGTAGATGGGGACCATGGCAACCCAGATGAGCTTTCCGCGCTTGGTGGTGAGGGCTGGGAAGTCTGTTGTAATGTTAGAATTCAAGTCATCGAGCAGAAGAGGGGTAGGGTCACGTACGGAATAATTCCATGAAGACATTGTTGTAGATGACCTTGATACCGATGTTTCCGTACAGAGCAGCAGCGATCAAACCGCCAACAATGGATAGGATGTTTCCAGCAGTTTGGTAGTTGTATGGGTTGATACTTTGGATGGCGGTGTTGTAGGTATACTGGCCTTGTTGAGAGTATTGGAGGAGACCGAAGAACATGTAGACGAGGTAGATGAAGACGTCGGCACAGAGCATGCCCTTCCAGAAGTCCCATGGATTGCGCATCTCAGCGAGGAGGTTGAAGAAGAGCATAGCTCCTCCGTAAGCGTAGATGATGGTGTTGATACCCTGGTAAGTGCCGAGGAAGCCAGTTCCACCTGAAGCGTATCCGTCAGGTGGGGTACCAGCAAAGGTCCTGATCGGGATGTGGCTTTCTACAGTGCCGTTGGGGAAGTTCAAGTCACCAAACGCAGAGCCAGCACCACCGAAAGAACCGAACATGGTGGCGTAGTTGGGGTCGGAGTTGCAAGCCACGCCGACAGCCATCAGGGAAGTGATGACAGTCGTCCAGACTGAGAGGTTGGCAAGCCATCCAAAACGCTGGAGCGTGCGGATTTGACCAAGGATCATACCCAGGATAGCGATGATGAGAAGGCAGACAATGAAGCAGAGTCCATTGCCGTGTGCACCATTCTGACCAATAGAGACCTGGGATACGGATCCACCAAGACTGAGGATAAGCACAGCCACCAACATAAACATTTGTAGACTTTGCAAGACGTTGATAAGATGCCTCACTTCTTTGCCGAAGACACGGAAGAAAGCTTGTCCAAAATCGCGGAGTGGGTAACGGTCGGAATCCATGTGCATGTAGACTCCCCAGACGTACCAGCCAGAAATAGATGCCATGAGACCGAAAACCGTGTAGAGAGCGGCACCAGGGCCATAACCAGTATTGGAGAAAGCCCAGCTGGAGAATAGTTAGCTCGTTCTTGAATCGTAGCTGAGAGTATTAAAGCCTCTTCAATGAAGAACACTTACGGAGCACCGCTGGGACCAAGAATATCAGTGGTGATCAAGAAGAAGATGGATCCCCAACTAGCAGTTCTGGTGGCACGGGAAGCTTGTCTCCACTCCAGATCGGTGACGGTAGACCAATTATTGTGGGTTGTCGTAATTTGGTTGCCATCGACGACAGCGTTAACTTCGTGAACGTGGCCCTTGGAGAATCGGTTCTTGATGATGCCGCCGAGGGACCAGGGGTCTTTGCGCTTGATCAGGTTGCCCTCATATTCACGCTCTTCGGCACGGGTAATTTGAGCATAGTGAAGGTACTCCTCAAAGAGAATCGATGAGTCGTTGTGGACCTGAGCGGCCTCTATACTGAAGCCGGTTTGGAGACCTCCTTCATGACCGTGATCGAGTGCGTATTGGCCAGGATTCTTCTCCCCCATACGAGGGTCACCACCATCAAGGGCGAAGTTGGCAAGATTTTGGGAGGCCATGTCGAGGGTCCGGAAACGGTACAGTCGGATGGGATGGGCAGAAGAAAAGCAACAGACTCAGGGAGGGGAGCAAAGTATATATTCTTGAGCTGCAGATGCCACGGAGCCATCCAGCCTTGGCCAAGGCTTATTTGTCAAGGACGATTCCATCAAGCTTCTTCGAATTTTGATAACAGGAACGTACTTCTCTGGGGCGGCCCAATGGGGACGGCCCCTGCTTCAGTAGACCGGCTATCCCGGCCGACAGCCAGCTTCCTGTTAGGGATCTGCGGCTCCACATCAATCACTTGGCAGTCTCCGGGGGCTCGTTCGCGGAAGCTCTCACAAAAACAGGTATCTAAACTTCTGAATGCTTTCAGACCGAATTCCCAGCGAGAACAAAGTGCGTGCTTAACTAGACAGATGCTCGCAGAAACCCAAGATCTCCATGTTGAAATTCATATACAGTACATGATATGCGGTCCTGCATATTTAGAGCAACGGTTCTCGGGCCAAGGAGCACATTCTGATCGCTGGGCACGGTGGACGCGTTGAAGTTTCCTTAAGCGAGCAGCTAGAAAGGAGGCTAAGATTACCAGGCTGGTGAGTGCAGGACAATCAGCCCAATAAGGCCCACCCAAATTCAATAATGCTTGACATTGCTTGTCGTTGGTCGTCGGTGGTTGGTGGATTTCGACAGGCTTGCTAGGGGGCACGACACAATCGACATTGCCGTACAAGAATTGAATTTCATTGGATGGGAAGTCAACTTGGAAGTGGTGATGCTTTATGCCAAGAGTCCAGCCGCACAACGGGCGTTCTAGCTTATCAGATCTGGATTACTATCAGCTGGTTGATAGGAGCGACCTTCTAGATAAGGGCATAATTCCTCGATCTAGTCCGTGAGCCAGCCGCCACCTGCCAAGGGGGGCGTGGCTTCAGACAAGCACCTGCCAAGCCGGGCCTTAGTGTTATCGTTCTGGATACGCTACTTTTCGAGGTAGAAATGAGGAGCGGGTCTGGAGTGACGTTTCGAAGCTGTGGATACAGTGGGGATGCAAAGCGAGAGGTTCTAGAAGAATAGAAGGAATTGGCGAGCCAGAGTTTATTTGAGAGTGCTTACGCAGAACCTTTGATCATCACCCCACAGAAAGTGCCAAGGGCATACGGCCTCGGCAGCCCCGAAGGTCGTCGCGTGCTGCGTGCAAGGTATCAACACCAGACAGATATCTTAGAAACCGAGATAGAATTAAGTCAAGA